TGAGGGGGCGGGGCTTCCCATTTATCATGGCCCTCCCCCCAGAATATTATTGAAAATTATTGAAAACTGAAGGAAGAAATGCCGAGACGTGGCAGGAAGTCCCCTCGGGGGCGGAGCATACAGCCAATCACATTCATGCAGCAGGTGATGTGCGCAGAGGGCGGAGCATACAGCCAATCACATTCACGCAGCAGGTGATGTGCGCAGTGGGCGGAGCATACTGCCAATCACATTCATGCAGCAGGTGATGTGCGCAGTGGGCGGAGCATACAGCCAATCACATTCATGCAGCAGGTGATGTGCGCAGGGGGCGGAGCTCATTCCTCGCGGGGGAAGAGTAGGAATCCGCTGAACACGCTGCTGCTGATGTCATTGTTGGCGACTCTCCGGGCCCCGGCGTCGCCCTCCAGCCACACCTCATCGCTCTTACTCAGATTGAGGACGGCGCCCCCGGAGTTGACCTGCGGCTGACCGCGGCTGTTCCTGTCGCAGAAGCTGAGCAGTTTCCTGGCGTTGGCGGCGTCCATCTTGGCCCAGATCTGAAGGCAGAGATCTCCGGCTGAGGCCACCTGGAAGGTGAAGTAGTAAAACCCCGCCTCCTTACACTGGAACCGCCCCGAGGAGCCGCTGTACACGCCCTCCAGGTTGGTGATCATGTGACCGAAGAGCAGCGCGTTGTCCTTCCAGCCGGTGAACGCCGCGGAGAACGCCGGCCTGCTCTGCGTCCTAGCGTCCGCCATCGCTCCTTTAGGTCCAGGTAAGCCGGGCTCTCCTATAGGCCCTGGGGGCCCCTCGGGACCCTTGTATCCTATAGAGCCAGGCTCGCCCGGGGCCCCGGGCTCTCCAACATCACCTTTGCTCATGGTCAGTCCAGCCAGTCGGCCGCTATCCCCTGCAAGAGGAATAAGACAAAGCTCAGCTCCGCCTCCTTCTATACTGCAACCTCCTACCCTAGCTCCGCCTACTTCTATACTGCAACCTCCTACCCTAGCTCCGCCTCCTTCTATACTGCAACCTCCTACCCTAGCTCCGCCTACTTCTATACTGCAACCTCCTACCCTAGCTCCGCCTACTTCTATACTGCAACCTCCTACCCCAGCTCCGCCTACTTCTATACTGCAACCTCCTACCCTAGCTCCGCCTACTTCTATACTGCAACCTCCTACCCCAGCTCCGCCTCCTTCTATACTGCAACCTCCTACCCCAGCTCCGCCTCCTTCTATACTGCAACCTCCTACCCCAGCTCCGCCTCCTTCTATACTGCAACCTCCTACCCCAGCTCCGCCTCCTTCTATACTGCAACCTCCTACCCCAGCTCCGCCTCCTTCTATACTGCAACCTCCTACCCCAGCTCCGCCTCCTTCTATACTGCAACCTCCTACCCCAGCTCCGCCTCCTTCTATACTGCAACCTCCTACCCCAGCTCCGCCTCCTTCTATACTGCAACCTCCTACCCCAGCTCCGCCTCCTTCTATACTGCAACCTCCTACCCCAGCTCCGCCTCCTTCTATACTGCAACCTCCTACCCCAGCTCCGCCTCCTTCTATACTGCAACCTCCTACCCCAGCTCCGCCTCCTTCTATACTGCAACCTCCTACCCTAGCTCCGCCTACTTCTATACTGCAACCTCCTACCCCAGCTCCGCCTCCTTCTATACTGCAACCTCCTACCCCAGCTCCGCCTCCTTCTATACTGCAACCTCCTACCCCAGCTCCGCCTCCTTCTATACTGCAACCTCCTACCCCAGCTCCGCCTCCTTCTATACTGCAACCTCCTACCCCAGCTCCGCCTCCTTCTATACTGCAACCTCCTACCCCAGCTCCGCCTCCTTCTATACTGCAACCTCCTACCCCAGCTCCGCCTCCTTCTATACTGCAACCTCCTACCCCAGCTCCGCCTCCTTCTATACTGCAACCTCCTACCCCAGCTCCGCCTCCTTCTATACTGCAACCTCCTACCCCAGCTCCGCCTCCTTCTATACTGCAACCTCCTACCCCAGCTCCGCCTCCTTCTATACTGCAACCTCCTACCCCAGCTCCTCCTCCTTCTATACTGCAACCTCCTACCCCAGCTCCGCCTCCTTCTATACTGCAACCTCCTACCTCAGCTCCGCCTACTTCTATACTGCAACCTCCTACCCCAGCTCCGCCTCCTTCTATACTTCAACCTCCTACCCCAGCTCCGCCTCCTTCTATACTGCAACCTCCTACCCCAGCTCCGCCTCCTTCTATACTGCAACCTCCTACCCCAGCTCCTCCTCCTTCTATACTGCAACCTCCTACCCCAGCTCCGCCTACTTCTATACTGCAACCTCCTACCCCAGATCCGCCTACTTCTATACTGCAACCTCCTACCCCAGCTCCGCCTACTTTAGAGTCAGTGTAGTCACCCTCATGGAGGCGGATATTATGGGCTGTATTGTACCTGGGTCCCCTCGATCTCCCTTCTGTCCGGGTCTTCCATTGCGCCCCGTGTTCCCAGGATGACCGCGCTCACCATCCCGGGCCTTGCAGACATCTGATTGGTGGGTCAGTGAGCTCAGCAATCCAACCAATAGGAGGCTGAGAATGATCTGGGGGCTCCCCATCGTGTCACTCCTGAGAAGAGAAAGAGGGGTATATAGAGAGTAGGAGGGGGGTATATAGAGAGTAGG